AGTAGCACACCACACTATGGAATGTAAAGTAGAGGACAACCAATCTAAACTAAGAAAATATTAGCACACAAGACTTAACCTTTAATGAGTTAGTAATCTCTTATACAACACCTTAGTGGTACTGGCTCCTGGGTGAGATACAATAATCTTTACATACTTTCTTCTAAGGAAATCTTTTTAGCAAATTATTCATAATAAGCAATATGAAATAAATTATTTAGGGCCTGCTATTGGCAGGCTTGGGTGGTAGATGAACAAATTGGAAATAATGGTGGTTATAAGGTGTAATGGTGCTGGATTGGTGTTGGAATTTTGAATGTAATATACCCTTGTGAACAACTTTATAAAAAATAAATTTAATTCAATTAAAAAAAAGCTTCACTACCAGCATCATACTCAGACTTTTTTCTCCTCAAATGCATTGTTTGCTACACAATATATATTCAGTCCCCTATTGGAAATCATTGTGCTAAAGAAGGCACCTAGATTTGGACAATTGCATGAGTGAAGCAAATTTAATAAAGCAAGATGCAAACGTGTGTCAGAACAACAGTGTGGCAAAAGAGAAAATATCCTGCAAGGGATGTATAAGCTTATGCAAGCTTATAAGAGAATTATAAATCATGTGTTCTTGCAGGGAGTATTCTCAGAAAAACAGAATAATCTCTTATTTTCAAAATTGTACATTAAGTGAGCAGGCTGATTGTTCATCTACAGTATACCTGTATGCTCCCAGCTGTGTAAATCCTTTGTAATAAAATGACACCTACTAACTTATAGACAATGGTGTATGTGTCTAGAATAAAGGGAAATGAGGACACTTGCTAAATAAAATATCAAGGTGGTCACTCTTCAGGGGATGTTTAGGAAATTTCACTGCTTGGGCAGGTGTTTCATCTACCTCTTTCTTTGCAATTGAAACTGCAGAATAGGACCAAAGTTATTGGTCCAGTGGGAGAGATCTCTTACATTTTCATTAAACCAACAAAATGTCTATCTGAATCATATGAGGGAACTATATATGGTGACAACAACTGAACCCAAATTAGCTATGAACAAGACAAGCATCTTAACAGTTCTCTCTGACCACTCTACCCATGGCTTTATTATCATCTGAATTCCAAACTTTTCTTATAGGTTCATTGCTGATAAAATTTTGAGTTTCTAACTTGTTATTTTATTGTCTTTCCTAAAGGTTTCTTGTGATACATATCTTGTGTAGTTGATATTATCAATTTTGCTTGCTTTGCATAAATTGAAACCTGTATTTGAATACTGAGCACAGCCAGACATCAATCCAGTGTACTACTGGGTATGGCCCCACTACTGCTACTATCACTACCTACCAGTACTACTTCTACCACTACTACTACTACTACTACTACTACTACTACTACTACTACTACTGCTACTGGTACTATCAAAAAAGAATGATCTCAATAAATAACAATTTAAAAGCAAAAAACAACAACGTATCACTTGAGATATCTTTATCACCTAAAGTAAAAAAAAAATTTCTTTCTAGATTTGTATTTTAAGATATTTAACTGACATTGAATTTGCTTATTTCATAAAGGATGCCATCTTTCTAAAACTAAGGAAAATTAGTCATCAAAATAGTAATTTGTGGAAGGATATGTTTTTACCATCAGTCTACTGTCTTTCTACAACTGAACAAATTTTCAAATGTGAATTGCATCTTTGTGTTCGAGTTTGAGATTGCATTCTGTTCAGTGATCTATAGGTGGATCAGTAAAGCACTGTTGTTATAAGTCTTTGTTATATATAAGTGATATGGTATTTAGTAGGTTAACTATACCACTCTAGGTTGTCTTTTTGGACTGTGCATATACATACATATATATTATATATGTTCACATATAGATTTAAGATTTAGATTATGAGATCAATTTGAAAAATCATAGTTCAGTTTTAGTAAAAGTTTCTGTGATCAGTTTATAATCAAACATATCTTGGGAACTTGACCTGCTTGGGAATATATAAAATATAGTATTATCATACTTTTTCTGGTTTAATTCATTAAAGAGTGATCATAATTCTCTTAGTAAAGAATCATAATTTTCTTAGAAAAGAATTTTAGGCTTGTTATAAGGTTTTTAATAAGGTTTGCTTTTCTTCTAATTGGTATGCATGATAAAACTATTTGCTCTAGCTACAAAATATAATAGTCAACTTTCTAATCTTTTATTAGAATAAAGTTACATCTTTAAACAATAGAGATTTTTATACTTTAATATAAATTGTGCTTCAGCTTATTATATTTTGTTTATACTGTAGGACCTCAATATATATTTAAACTATTCAAAACATTTGATGGGATAATTGGTGTCCTTGTTTGATTTCTAATGTTAAAAATTATAATATTCTGTACTTTACTTGTAGACTGCTGACATTTTCTGCATAAAATAATGCTTTTGTTGATTTATTTTAAATAATGGTGTATTATATTAATTGTGTATTATATATACATGGATTAATGTATATATAAATGCATATATATATAAATTTTCATCAAATGACAGAGGTTTTATTGATGGTTTAATAGATTTTCCCAGGAGCAGTTTTCAAATTTTTACATAATTCCAACACTATGAATAGAATAAACAAAATCATAATCATTAATAAAATTTATTGTAAAACACTTATCTTTTTTGTTTGAATACATTTGTTATTTTTTTCTGACTTTTAAAATATAATTTGAAAGTTCCTATTAGTTTTTTATTCTTGAGTGATAATCTTTTTATTTTTATTATAGATTCAAAATTTTCTGCACTTCCAAAATCATTAATTTCTTTACTTTTGTGTAAAATTTCCCTTGTGTTTAGTGCTATAGCTATAGAAACAAAATACAGTAATATTTTATTATTGTAATTGTGTTTAGTGCTATAGCTATAGAAACAAAATACAGTAACATTTTTATATCTCTCCTTGTAAATACTATACTTTCTCTATCTGGTGATTTAGAGTTTTCATACTTTCAGAACTTTTTTTGTTTGTTTGTTGGGGCAATACCCAGCAGTGCTCAGGGATTACTCCTGGTTCTGTACTCAGGGATCACCCCGTGAGGGATTGGGGAACTCTACGGCATAGTTGGGATCAAACCAAGGTTATTCACATGCAAGACAAATGCAGTACTATCACCCAGACCCACTTTCAGAACACTTTTAGTTTATAATAACTTCAAGTGCTTCCTAATTTCTGCATTCTCCATTAACTTTTGCTCTCCATTCACAATGAATACACCAGGTCAAATTAATTATTATTTTTACATTTTGCACTTTAAAGTTCTTACTTTCATTATAAAACAAAATGATTAATTTCATGAGAAATGTGTTAATTCACTATATTGTTTCTTTTAATGTGTTTCTGTTAATTTATAAATTAATCCTTTAATTTTGAGTTATAGTTTGATTTCATTAATTTTATATATTAATTATAAATTCATCCCATTGTTGATAATTTTATTAACTATAATTTTCTTTTTATTGATAAACATTTCCTACTTTATTTGTGTATCCACTAATACTTTATATATAATCTATATGTATAATGATTCTATATATATTGTTCTCTTTCACTTTTTCATTATTGACTTTAAATTTTATATATTTTCCTCTTTATTATTAATTTTTAAAAAATATTTTTATTAGTGAAACACCATGAGGTACAGTTGTAGACTTATACATTTTTGTGCTTGGGTTTCAGTTATACAATGATCGAATAGCCATCCCTCCACCAGTGCCGATTCTCTACCACCAATGGTCCCAGTATCCCTCCCACCCCCAACCACACCATCCAACCCCAACTCTGTGCCAGGGCATTCCCTTTTGTTCTCTCTCTCCTTTTGGGTGCTGTGGTTTGCAAAAGAGGCATTGAGTGGCAATCATGTTCGGTCTATAGTCTACTTTCAGCATATATCTCTCATCCTGGGGGGATCCTCCCAACACCCTTTACTTGGTGCTCCTGTCTCTATCTGAGCTGCCTTTATAGATGACAAAAGAAATGAGACTGCTGTTAAAAGCTTTTCCTTGGCTAAAAAACCTGTGAAAATTAATTCTACCAGGGAAAGGGAGACCAAAGTAAGATCATTCTATTTAGAATGTACTAATCATTGATCTATGCAAAAAGCTAGTTTTCTATACATTTCTTCAAGTAGTTTTGTTAGAATGAAATAATGTAAGAATTGACCATAAAAATTGCATGTAATAGTTGATACATACTTAATATAATAATTTTTAGTTAGTCTTATGCTAATTAATAACATTAAGGCACAGTTAGACTCATTATATATATTTTAAGTGACATAAAAATAATATGTGGATCTATTTATGAGTTATAGCTAAAAATGCATAAATACTGATGTACACATTATATCACATTAGTTTAACAGCATATAAAGTTGTATTTTAGCTATATGATAAAAGGAAGTGTATATTATTAACTTCATGTCAACATCAATAACTTTACATAGCATGTTAAAATCTTGGATTCACAATCACTAAGGATATTAACATAATAAAATAAGTAACTGTCATGCAAACTACTTAATAGTCCTACTGTTCTTATTATGTTATCAATTTTGTATCTGATTATCTTATCCATTTCTTCACATTTTGTGGTAATTAACATGTCAAATGTTTTTTTTAATAACATACTACTAATTTATATCTGATGGAGAAAATTGATTAGTTTTAATTAATAAGTTTGAAAATATATGATGACCGCCTGTAGAATATAATTTTCAAATTATTGTCAATAACTAAAAGTCAACTAATGCTATTTGTGTTAGCATTTATTTCAGTTTTACTTTCGGTACTTAAGAAATACATTTAGGTTATAATCATTGCATTATCATGCAGAATAGCAACTTTAAAAATAGTACAATGGAAATATTCGAATATTATATTTGTATCACCTACATAATTCACATTGTTGCAAAAGCTCAGCAATACCTTATATTTTAGACACCTCTTTCTTACCTGCTTGTGTGCATGGTCATAGGAATTAATGTGATTGTCAAACTCCTGATGCTTATAATATTGCTTGTCACATAGTTCACAGTAGAAATTGGCCTTGAGGTCTTCTAGAGCTTTCGCTATGGTATTCTCTTTCTCAGCATAATCCTAAAAAAAAATTTTAAAAAAATCAAGGAAGGAAGCAATTAGTTTCTTCTGAGTTCCCTTTGTTCTGATATTTGTCAACTTTAATATGCTAATTAAAACTATAATATAACAGATAGAAAAATAAAGTCATCTATTAAGTGAGTTTAAGAAAATAAAAAATAAGTGGTAGAAAGAGCCAAAATAAACAATGGTAAAATAAATAAAATTATCTATGGAGTTTGAAAACTCTAGAAAAAAGTAGAAGTTGTTTTTTTGGTAAGTCTTGTTATGCTACGGTAGAAAAGAAAAATAATTAAAATCATATGGCATATTTATTTAGCAATGCTTAAAAAAAACCTTTTTAATTGAATCACTATGAGATAGACCATTACAAAGCTGTTCATGATTGGATGTCAATCATACAGTGTTCGTACAGCCTTTCCTCCACCAGTGTACTTTTTCCAGTACCAGTGTGCCCAGGTTCCCCCCCATTACCCACATCCCCCTCCCACTGCCTGTCTGCCACTGTGTGGCAGGTGCATCTCTCTCTCTCCCTCCCTCCTTCCCTCCTCTCTCTCTCTCTCTCTCTCTGCCTCACTCTGTTGTTCTCCTTTTGGGCATGATGGTTTGCAATATTGACACTTAAAGTTTATCAAGAATATCAGTATAACAGTAGTAGCTGGGAATGACCACCCTGGACAAAACTGAGTGTTAAAAGTGGTAACAGGATATTCTTTATTTTGCAATGCTTTGTTAATATAACACTTGTAAATTCTGAAAAAAAGGCACATGTTTATACATAAATATTCATTTGCTTTATATATATAACCATTTATTTAAATATCTCTATAATAACTTGTTCATTCTAACTTGATTTTGCGTGTCTGTTTTTATGTTGAGCCACAGCAATTTACGTTTAGCACTAAAAAATCCCCTACTCTATTTAAAAATAAGATATTCCTCTGAAAGTTATTTTCCTATACTGAGAAAGATTAAATTATGTAAGTAGTTTCCTTTCATCACGCTCACTGTAAATAAAGATAACTTGCAATCAATCTACCGAAAAAAGAAAAATATAATCAGTTATAATTAGCTTTCATTTATGAAGCATAAGATAGCAAAATGTTTGGCTCTGTCTTTTGAGTTTTCTTAGGTTTAAAAACCTACTTTTGAAACCATTAAAATTTATTTATATTAAGTAGATCTATGCTGCTTATAGAGTAACATTAGCTTAAATTGTTATAATCCTTTTAAAATAATTTCAGAGTGAAATTTATGTATTATGCAATTAAAATGAAACAATAATTAAGTAGTATAATTTTATAACTAGAGAGTGCAGAGCAGAGATAAAATTCCAGTCAATATGAGTTATTTTGTAATAGAAATAATTTTGTACTCAAAGCTGAATTAGCTCTTAAACAATATCCTTGAATGAAAGCTTGACAAACAAATTGATTTACCATTAATTATAATAATATTTAAACTACTAACTATATAATTTGGCTGTTTCTTATGGTCAAATACTCATAATTTCATGTCTTCCTAAGATGGATACTCCTCCAGTAAGCAATACTACATCATTAGTAATTCTTTCACAGGGCAAAATTTTCAGCAATCTGGAGATTTGATTCTTAAAAAAAATATTATTTTAAGTATAGAACTAAAAGGAACTCAAGGAGCAGAGCAATAGTTCAAAGGATGGAGCACTTGCTTTCTAAGTATCCTACCTGGGTTCCATCCCTGGTATCATCCTGAGCACGGTAGGAGTGATCCCTGAGCACAGAGTTAGGAGTTAATCATAAGTATCATAGTTGTGGGCTCCAAAGGCCCAACCCTCAAGAAAAATGAGAGAAAAAAAGTCTAAACACCATAAAAACTACTAACTTGGTGCTTATATCAGGGACATCATTGAAAAAAATTATGTATGAACTCATTTAATTCTGACTAACATTACAGAGATGTGTATTCTAAACATTTCTTCATTTTACAGCACAAGAGTTAAATAATAATCTCAATGATTTATAATGAATAGTTATGTGGTCTTTTTTTTGATACCAGGTAATCAGGTTAATAGCATTTTATTATGTTTAAACTTTAAAAACACATGCAAACATGCCAAAAAATTGGAGAGTACAATAATCTCATAATCTATACTTCAGATTAAACACTTAGGCCCAACATAACTGTAATTTCCCTATTCTAACAAGGTTTCCTTGCCCAGATTATATTGAAATGACCAATTCCATATACTGTTATATGTAAATATTTCTGTATACATGTATAAAAGAGGAATTTTAATGAAAACATTCATGAAACCGGTATCAGTCATAGCTAAACAAAAGCAATAAATAAATAAATTAAAAATATTTGCTGGAATAGATGTTGGCATATTTAAATACAGGTTTATTGTTATGTGTTATTAGTTACATAACTGCACCAAATTTTCAACATCCAGTGTGTTCAAATGACTATATTTGTTTAATATTTGTAATGTGTTTCTTCAAAATGAATTCATAGAAGACTTATACTTTACCATAATGTGGTATGAATCTTAATTTCTTTTTTTCTATAAATATACCCACTGCTTGCATTATTCCTTATTGTAATTTATTTTTATTTATACTTAACAGTAAAAAAACTGCAGTAATACATATGCTATAAAAATAAAGCAACAAACTATTATATCATCAGGAGAAATGCAATCATGTTAATATTTGAACAAATTTTCTCTTGAGATCTACATTCAATTCTATCTTTGTTTGTGTCTTCTAAGATACTAAAAATGATCTTGGCTGGAGTTGAGGTTATGCTGGATTGAATAGTGAAATAATTTTGTGGCAAAAACCTTTTATTAAGGGGGATTGGTTCCACATCCAGTGTTTCTCAGGAGACAAAATGTGGTTCTGGGGACTGAATCCTGGTTATCTGCTTGGTAGGCAAGTTCTCTTCCTGCTTGACTATGCCTGGTCCTGGTGGCAAGAACTTTCATACTGATTTGAATGTAATGTGTTGTAAAACTATATTCTAAAAAAATGTTAGCAGTATTGGGGCTGGAGCAATAACACAGTGAGTAAGGTGTTTGCTTTGCATGAGGCTGACCCGGTTCGATTCCTTTGCCCCTCTCGGAGAGAGTCTGGTAAGGTACTGAGAGTATCTCACCCACATGGCAAAAAGCAAAAAAAAAAAGTTAGTATAAAAGGACAGTTTATTGTATGGGTGTCATTCATGACTATATGATTTATATGTTTCTTTTGAAACACTTAAGAAAAACTGGGGCCAGACCTAGCTTTTAGTATCAAGGGTTGCCTGTGGCTCTTTGTTCAATGACTCATTCATATGTGGAATGACACAAGAGTCAGAGTTGGCAGCAGCAAAACAAGCACTTTCAGCTTTGTACTACTTATCCAGCCCTGTTAGACACATTGTACAATGTCTGTTGACAAGATCAGCTGTTATTAACTTGATATGCACTGGAGCTCCATGGTCCCTCATTCCTTTCATTGTGGATGGTACTGAATGATACTGATGATACTGAATGATACTGATGATACTGGATTGTGTAAACACAAAAAGGCAGCAGCAGTCTATCTATCCCACCGTGTGCGTTTGCTAGTGGCAGTCTCATGCCGCTTCCCCCACCCAGGAAAGGTGGATGGTGATGGGCAGGTGAAGGAAGAAAACAAGGGCCAGGTTGGTTGGTGTTAGTTGCAGTTTATTCCATCCCCATCTCCATTCTCCTCTGATTCTCCTCCTGCTTCTTCCTCTCCCATGCTACTTCATTCTCCTTCTCTATTCCCCTTCATTCTCCTTCTGGCTTTGGAATCTGGATCCCCCACCCCACTCTTACAGTCCAGTTAAATCCCCCCACCCCGCATGAGGGGTTGGGGCTTACACATAGGTGTGATCACAATCAATAGGGGTAAAGTTTTTCCCCTCAGGGGTTACTTCTTCTAGGACAGATATCTTTTCAGCAGGATGACCTACCCAAGAGTGGAATCCTATGGGTGTGTTTCTCCTCTCCTTGTCCAACAAACATAAACATTCATAATATTAATCATTTTGTATGGGCACAGTAAGGGATACATTAAGCTTATAGAATTGCTTTCCTGGGGTCACCTCGATCTCAGACTACAGTTCTCAGGCCAGATTAGTCTTTCCTATCCTTAGCAGGGTCCTAGTCTCATCATTACTTTTGGATCATGACAGCATTTGTACGTCCTCAAGCTCTTAACATATAGTTAAGAATAGTGGTGCTTTGGCCTAGCCAATTTCGATGCCAGGATAGCTCACAACTTGCCCTGGGTCCATTCAGTTCCTGCGTGCAAGGCAAACGCTCTACTGCTGTGCTATCGCTCCAGCCCTACTGGAAATGTAATAAATACATTTGAATAAATAAAAAATGCATAATCACTTATATCATCACCCTAAATGATGCCCTCTATTTGAAAAAGTCCTTTTTGTTCAAATAATTATATAGAAATCTTCAATGTCCACTAGTCTGATGCTAAAAAGCTAAGGGGGAGGTTTATTGTATCTGGTCAGGGAATGCACAGCTTTCTAATTTCATAAATACCTAAAAACAGAAATGTGTGGTCTTTAAAGAAAGCAGCACAGAATCCCAAAGCTCTTAAGAACTTTTTATGTGAGACTTTATCAAGATTGTGAATATCCAAAAATGTGCAACTGGAGAAGTATAACTTCTTGCAGATCAGCAAACTGAAACAGAAGTTATTGTTTTCCATGGTTGCAGGGAGGAACAAAGATTGAGAGGGTTAGGGAAGTGGAGAAGAAAAAAATGTTTAAAATGCATGCACTTTATGGTAGCAACAGCATAACATATGTGAAGTGGTAGGAGGTATCTCTTAAAAGTATGCTTTTGTAAACTTACCTGAGAAATGTGAACCTCGGGAGGGCAAGAATTTTGTGCATACTCGGTTGACTACTGAATCTCTAATGCTTTTAGTTTTCCTGCACTGGTAGACACTTAGCAATTATTAATATGACAATGGTGGAGGAATCGA